ACATGAAACATTCTCCTAGCACAGCTGGCTCCTATACTAATTGTTCAATCATCACTTTGAGATTAGACAAGAAAAGATGCACCAGAAGTGCACCAACAGATCATCACTATCCTACTCTATACTGAGAGGAACTAGTTACAATCAAGAGAAATCCTCTATGGTCCACTACCACAGGAACTAGTAAGTAGCAAGGATTCCTATGCTCCTCCAGAAGGGGAGTGAAATTGCATTGGGGAACTCAGAGGCATGCATTACTATTTGACAGTGCAATGGGTGACCACAAAAATCCTCTTTTTAAAAGCAGGCCAGCACTAGATTTCAAACTAGGCATAGAGGATTGGCAGCAGTTACCTGTGACTTCTGTACTCATGGTAGTCCATGAGAGGGTATGATGTGCATTGGGCCTTGTTTAAGAGAATGAGCACAGCAAGGATACCTCTAGCATCTTGTAGAACACCCTATTTCATAATTGAGTGCTATATCAGGCTTTGATGACCCTACACTTTGCAGATTTTGGATAAGTATACCCTGACAGGCACCACTTGTCATTGAGTGGGATACAGTGAAGGATGAGAGGGAAGAGAAAAAACTTACCCCATCAGAGCCAGTAAGAGGCATGCAGAATGGTGACCAGAAGAAACCAATATCTCCACAAAGGAATGACCAGATGATGGATATAGTGTGTGAGATTGTCTATATGCCAACCTGATCAATCTTCTCTAATGGACAATGGAAGTGAGCAGCTAAAAAAGTGTGTAAGGTACCAGAATTTATGTGAGGACACCCAACGCCTGGAAGAACCAGTAGACATCCCCATCCAAAGAAGAATATGACAGATGAGTTGATGAAACCATCCAGTAAGGGTGATGGGAGAAAAACTGCATGTGGAAGATGGATTCCAAGAAATGAAGAGATAGGAGCATTGCAGGCCAAATAATGGATAGAATATGCAATCAGGATCAGAGTGAGAAAAAGAGATGGAAAAAATGCAATGTTACCCTCGCATATTGGAAATCTTTTTAAGGAGAAAAGCACAATCAGGATAAAGAATGACATAAGAACAATGGAAAAAAAAAATGTGTGAAGAATCAATGGCATACATGTCAGAATGTCAACAACCATGGGCAAAAAGGAGGAGGAAATGGGTTTTAAGGGAGAGATGGTAGAAGAACAGGAGGCAAAGGTTCAAATGGAGGAAGTGTAATGGTGTTGAGATGGAACTAAAAGAAGCCAGTCATCCTTGTAATGGTGGGATCATAATCCCAAGCCATGAATGTGACAAGCAAAAGCAAACTACTTGACAAAAAATGTATGGGGCTGATGCAAGAGTAAAAGAGTGAGCATAGAACTAGTAAACCTGACCTCGATGAACCAACTGAAGGTAAAATCTGGATGAAGAGGAAATGAGAATGAGAAAGAGGAGAAACCTGTTTGATAGCATCATTGACTGATAGGTCTGACACTGCCTCTGACAGATTATTAGATTATTTCCTTATTGGAAGGAAAGTAACAAGAAGAGAAGTGGAAAAATGAAGTGCAAGGCCCTCTGACAAAACAACCTGCAACACCAAATGATTGGCATCAGTTGGACTCCAAAATTTGCAAACTGAGCTAAATAGTCACTGCAGAGACTTACAGCGCTGAAGTATACAAACAGAGGAAGCAGGAGGACAAAAAACAAAAAGGAATAAAGAAAGAGTCTGAGAGAGACGAGAAACAAGTGAGGATAAGGAAGAATGTTGGTGTGCAGCCTCAACTTGCAACTTCAGAGATTCAGGTACACCACTAAAAACACACTGGTGAAGGAAATGTGCCAGACAAAAGAATCAAATAAGAAGGAAGCAAATGCACTTGAATAAGACAGGCATCCCACCCCAACAAATCCAGCAATGAATCAACCAAGTATGAAGTGAGAAGGCTGAGGAAGATAAACACATCAAGTAAAGAAGTGAATGAGTGTACACCCAAAACCCCTCAGGGGAATAGTAGATTGCCTCTGAAAGAAGGTGGATGGAGGAAAGATAGTGTAAAAGGGTAGTGAGTGAAAGATGAAAGTAGAAAAATTAAGCCTGAAAAAACTCAAACAGAAGATAGATGATCTGACCCTTAAGTCTTAAGAAGAGACTCAAGAGTTTGGGAGTCCAAGAAAAGGAACACAATTTGATGTTAAGTCCAGGCATATGTGGCAACACGGTAAGAAGGACAAGGCAGGCATGCACCAGAAGTTGAGATAAAAATGATCCAATATGGGCTGGAATATCTGGAGAGGGAGGACAAACATAAAAGTCAGAAGCAGGGAAAGAATTAAGAAGTGAAGGAAAACAATCATACAAGTCAGGAGAGATAAAGTAACATACCTGAGAAACCATGTCTTGAAGTTATGCAAAAGGCCTAGGTAGATCCACACCAGCATGGGTAGAAGATTTGGTAATGGTAGGTGGTGAGAAAAACTGTCAAAATCCCCTTTGTCATCAACAGGATACATAGGATGAGGTATATTAGGTCCAGAAGAAGATCCCAGTCACATGAAAGACTCCATTTCCCATTGCACAATAGTCATCACTTCCTCAACAAACAAAGACAAACCCAATGCCAATTTAATTGTTCGTCTAGCATGAACAACGTCTTGTTGTCCCACACCAGCCAAAGTGGAAGTTACCTTCACTTGTGAATTAATAATGTGGAAATAAAAGGCCACAAAATTTGCAAGTGTACAAATGTTGGAAAATTAAAATATCTTAAAAGTTCATGAGTGAAAAAATCACGTCTTTACAAATGAGTGCCAAATTTATAAGTGATGATTAAATAATCAGTATATATCTATATATATATATATATATATATATAATGATAGAGGGAGCAGGCTGTGCTAGGAGGGTGTGTTATGCTTATTTGCATGTGACAGTGCAGCAAATCATATTATCATTCACATGGAAACGTGATTTTAGATGGGAGTCTCAAGGCTATTGGCAAGTGAAAAAGTTTGCATACAAAGGGCAACAATGAATCAAGAAAATTATATGTGAGAAATATCACATCATCATTCACATGGAAACGTGTGATTTTAGATGGGAGTCTCAAGGCTATTGTCGAACGAAAAAGTTTGCATACGGAAGGCAACAATGAATCAAGAAAATTATAAGTGAGAGGAGGTTATGTATCATAATGGAAGTTTTGTATCTGATATAGCTTATTTACTTTGAACTTAGTTAAGCTATTACAAACAATAAAGATATAAAGATAGAACCTCTTTACACAACTTATGAATCCATACAACCCTAATATGAAATTCCACACAATAAAACCAGTTGATTGGCATATAATTTTCAATTGCACACTTAGATAAGTGTAAACATAAAAACCAACTCTGTGTTCCTTTATAGATTAACAAAATAACTTTCAAAAAGCATGTTTTCATGATATGTTATCCTTTCCAAGTTTCCAATCACACTTTAAAAACCACACTGTAAAGACATTTTAGCACTCTTTCATTTGGCACTACGTCACTTAATGTATCAAAATTACTCTGATGAAGTGTCAACTATAATAACCAAAGACTACATGAAAACAAAAACATAGCTTTACAATTGACAAACAAAAGATACATACACAGTTCAAATACATGATTTCTTTTTACATCACCAAGTTCGAATTTTTAGTTCTACTATGCATACACCTGTTTAATTCTTACTCAACTTATGTAACATCAAACAATTTTCTAATGGAGACACTAGACACAGATGTTACTTGAAAAAGGTGTCTAATGATATGATTTGTTTTAATAAACACATATGGCAAATAATGATTTTTACCCTCGGCTATAAACAGGTATGAGAGTGGAAAGTGGCTGAAAAATCTGTAAAATTTGCAATACCAAAGGCTAGGTCACTTCTCTACCCTTTATTATTCTTATTGCCACCTTGTACTTATGTAGGTTATAATTTATTGAGTTACAAATAAGGGACATTTTCCCTAAAAGTTTGTTTGTTGTTAAGCACAAAGCTACACAATGAACTATCTGTGTTGTGTCCATCACGTGTATAGAATCCCTCAGATTTACTGCTGAGTCACCAAGGAAGCTCGCTAAATGTAAATGACAGAAATATTATTTTAAACAGCAAAAATTAATCCAGGGCCTTTAAAAGAAATTGGCAATCCACCAGTAATCAGTGCACTCTTATGCCTGTTTCAAAACTGATGTGGAAAGGTTTTTTTAAAAGCTTTTATGTACTAAGTAAATTGATACGACTGGTCTTTATGACAGTTTTTTCTATGAATCTCTTGTAAAATTATAGCAGAGAAAAGAATTGTTTGAAAAATTATCAATATCAGAGAATTCAAAACTAATGTAAAAGCATTATTTTTCATTTACACAGATGTCAGAAAATACAGGTCACATAAAAACTATCTTATTTATACACAGTCTCAATAAAAGACTGCTTGCCCTGGTTAAATACCAAGGCAGTCAATCATGGGTTATTATTTAGAACATTTTTTAAATAATTAAATTACATGTAATAAGGAATAAAATGTATTTTCATCACTGCATTACATAAAGTTTTTTTATATCAATCCTGTAGCTTTTTTGATTACAACAGATATTTGTTTAAATACTATGACACTTAAATATGTACCAGTCTCCAATAAATAAAAGGTAAATTCTCACTTATTTAAAAATTACTTAATTGATATGTAAAATATTGCTTTCTTAATGGAAACACAATATGACAAAAATAATGTCAGAAATTTTAACTTCTTTTTTGGAATGTGCCCAAAAAAAGTTAAAAATTTAATATAATTTTTCTGTTTTTCTTAATATTAGTGATTAAGACAATTTTAGTATAATCATTTTTGTTAATGTTTATTTCTGCCCTTTAAAAGAGTATTGACTTATGAGAAATACAAAAGTTTCAGCACTGGTTTTTATATTATGTAAAAACCTAACCGACAGTTTCAATTTCATATTAAGATATTTCATTACTATAATAGCACTGAAAAAATTCAAAATATAAAATTTATGAATAAAATGATAAACATGAATAAATTCCAACCACATTAATTTAACTCTAATTCAGAGGGACAGTATGCCTTGTTTAGGTATATAAAATAATAACATTAACAAAACAATGTATTTTTAATAACAATGCTTGTGTTTAATGCAATGCATTCAGCATTCTTTTCATATTTTTGGAAAGTTCTACAAAGCATATAACAGTATTACCTTTAAGCAGCTGAGATGTGCAAGAAATCATCTGTAAAATCAAGTTTTTCTTTTCCATTGACAAGTGAAATGTTCTAAAACATTTCTTCCATGAATTGGGAAATCTACTCACGTCATTTTAAAAATTAAATGGAAAAATGTCAGCACTCTCTCGATTAATGAAAATTCTGTATCTGTTTTGCTCATATGTAGGTAGCACTTTTTCACTCCATGAAATTACTTATGTCAAAAAAAGATGAGTTTTATGGAGATTTTGTTCTGAAAGAATAATTATTTATTAATAATATGCTAAAGTGAAAGTAAAATTAGCTATGTAAAACAGATGAATATGAAGGATACAGACAATACGAACATTTAAAAGCATAAATTACATGTCTGGAAAAAGCAGTAATCAAGAACAACCAATAATCTGGTCACATTTTGCAATGTCGCTAAAACTTTCAGACAAAATTAACACAATATAACAATAAAGGCTTTCTTCTGATAAATTATCATGTGTAAGTAAATCTTTGAGGTTTTTTTCATTATGAGACTAAATGGTTTCATGGAATAATGATTAAACTAGTCAACGACAACAATGCCTTTTACATTTTGACTATCATTATGGAAAAGTTGAAAAGGGATGTGAAGGCATTTTTATAACATATACTTATACAAATTTCAACACACGGTGTGCCAAACTTCAAAACAATTCCTTTTCCTACAAAGGTGTACCTTGCATAATTTACAACCGAAGTAGCTTTCGTGTGGTCGACCTCGTTTTGTTAGTCGTCCTTCTCGACCACACTGCACACAGCCACCTTTTGGTGGTAACCTTTCAAGAGTATGTTTAGTGGTTTCCCGAGACAGATCCAGGGGTCTTGTAGGTTCACTGAAGTTCAATTCATCTAGGGTTCTGTAATCATTCTCCAGAAAGGGTGGAGATTCTGCTGGAGATGGTGGATCACTAAGCCTGTCTTTTTCCTTATTAGTCAGAGCCAAGGGTTGCATCATGGAGTGATTATTATCAACATCACTGGAACTGGCTTCTTCCATGTGCCAACTTCCATTCTCTATGACAGTAGGAGTGAAACTTTTGTGTGTGACTTTTTTTATTTGCTTTGGCATGAGAGAATCCTGGCAGTATACTTCTAGGTTCACGGATGACTTTGTCTTTGGTAAAGACTTACAAAGTAGAAATGATATCATGTTTATGATAAATAATAAAAGCATTATCTATTTTTTTATCTTTAACACAGTATATTTTCAGTATAATATAAAAGTATTAAACAAATAAAATATTTTTTAAAACTTTTATTCCATGACACATAACACAGAAAATGTACACACATATATATATGTCTTAAAATTATTCTAGAGCATTAAGAAATAAAGTATAGACAAGAACTTTCAAAACAGTCCAAAATGTTGTATACACAGACAAATTTATAGCCTTCTTCTTTTGCAAGCTTTTCTGCTTATAAAAAAAAAAAGATTAAACCTGTTAGAGCACAATAACTGCAGTGCTCAGCACCAAGTTAAGGTTATTAATGTATGCCTCTACTGAGAAAGAGGTTTAAAGTAAATTTTAACATAAAATTTCAATAGTAAAATATAATACAAAGAAATACTTATCTCTACTATATTCTTGAGCTATGTTATTTATGTAAAGACCTTATTTATATAAGAAGTTAAATGTTAACCAAAAATGTTAAAATTTGATTTGGTAAAGAAAATATAAGCTTAAGAGCCAATAAAATAAATAAATAAATCTAGATGTGTAATGTTTAGTGACCCAGACATAAATGGAAGATTCAGCATTTTAAGATAAGCATTATATAATGCTAAAATGCCAATTTTACAATGTTTCTGACTAAAAAAAACTATTGCAAAAATATTAATTATATCTTTATATTAACTTTTGACAGTTAAACTGTGAATATGCAGTCAAAATAGCCTGAATGGGTTAAACCAACTAGAGGCAAAAGAGAGATTCAAAACACCAGATCTGTGCAAATTGGAACTCTAAAAGAGATGATAATGAAATCTCAAATTAGGGTTCACCACTTCCACATGACTCTTTCAGTAAAAGTGAGTGCATTTCCTGGTAACTTAATTATTTTTGTGACTTTGTAAATACATCTTTTGTGTGAACACAACATTCTATATCATATTAATTAATAATACTCATATTATGACCAGTTCATGTTACATCAGCTCTCATTAGCCCATTCATGTCAATACATTAGCTGAAAATGTTAACCAGCATAACTTTAAATGACATTAAGTGTAGTATAATATTACATTCAAGAATTGTAGACTGACACTTAAAAATTCCAAAATTAATACAAAAAAACAACAATACTTACAAGAGGCTGTTCAGTTCTGACAACTTCTGTAAAAATATCTAAAAGTGGTCGAGATACAAGAAGACCAGCTACTGAAGGATCATTGAACTTTACTCCAAAAACTGTTTCCAAACAGTGTATGGCTACTACAAGATCATAAAAAAATGTATTAAATATTTTTTCTTATAACTTAGGTCTATATGCATTTTATGTATGTGTAACAAAGTTAAGACACTGAAACTTGAAAATTAAACACCTTTACACATAAATTGATTCTTCACTAGAGCTTTTCAAACTTTGTGGGCTAGAAAGCAATGGTGTTATTTTACTCATCATGTATTGATTTATACACAAAGCAAGTCATTTTAACACAATTAACTCAACAGGAAATAAAAAACACTTGCATCTACAACTTATAATGTTGAAATATTTTTACTAACTTTGAATTTTCAATAGATTTAACTTAAATTACCTTAAAATTTTACCCATTCAAAAGACATTTACAGTATAAAAAAAATGGATTTAACAGGACTTAAAATATTTTCTCAATAAATTTATTCCTTTCAGATAAAAGGGTAAGTGTGAGTTCCAGTTATCACTTTTACAAAAAGAATTATGAGTTGTTATTAGCAATGTGTACTTCATACAACACATCTATACATGAACAATATGACTAAATATTACTAACTGCTGTCCACTGAAAATGATGCCAACATTTGCAGCTCATTAGAGTAACTCTCTTTATACTGAGAGTTTAAAAAGACACTTCTGTTTTTCAGACAACTGTATTCAGAAAACCAGTGGACAAAATGTTATGCAACTAAGTGCACAAAATAAACTGAAAAGTAGAAGACAAAGTACACAGTTATTGGAATGTTATAACATATGGACAAAGGATCATTTGGCTCTTCAACACTGTTTTCATATACCCATCTTTGAACAAAGTAAAAATTTAAGCCCACACTTTTTCAGGAAATCATGGATCCCCATTTAAATTCCTGTACATTGCTGGTCTCCACTACTGCTGACAGCAGCTCATTCCATAAGTCCAACACTCTATTAGAAAAATAAAATTGTCTTAACTGGAGCCTAGCCTGTATTTTACAGATCTTTAACTTGTGCCTTCCTGTCCTATTATCTTCAGAGTATGTATGGCATATAGAAATTAGATGTCTTTATCCTATCAATCTACCAGATAATCTTGTAAACTTTATTAAAACCATTTCTCACTTTCTTCTCTCAAATGAAAATAAGATACCTTAACCTATCCCTGTAAGATAACCATTTTTATCCCCTCAATAATCCTAGTTACCCCTCCTTTGAACCATTTACAATAAGATAAGATCCCTTCTGGGATATGGAAGCTGAAATTTTACACAGAATTCCAAGTGAGGCCTAACAAGCAATTTGCATAAAGAGATGATTATCTCTCCTGACTTGTAATCAATATATCTATAAATACACCCTAAACTTATATTAGCTTTATTACTATCAGAAATGAGAAGAACAAATAAATGTTTTGGCTGGTCTTGGCCCAGAAGCTAGAGGAGTGTACGTGTTCTCTGATACATTAAATATTCATATCATTTTATACTAGAATGATCAGTTAACAAACACTGGAGTTTTGCAACTTTAACTCATGTTACAAAATTGTCAATGTTTACAGTGACTGCACATGTGCAAAAACACACAATTGAAAATTCTACTTTCTTATTCTGCTCATGCCACATAGCTACAGAATCCCCCACCCCCACCCCAATATATACAATGTTTTCAACCTTGCCTTATGGAAAAGAAACAAACATTTCTATCTGTGTATTTCAATTTACCTGCATGAGCATAATTATTAATTGTACTGTAATTTTTGGTTGTGTTTCATATATGCTCCTTTTCTGATACAGTTTCTCTATACAGTATGCTATTTTATGCTACTGAATTCAATGATTTGGCTATTGTTAATTTTCTGTCAGTAGTTAATCTGGAAACTGGCTTTCAAGAATCAGACTTGACCCATGCTTTAAGCTTTGAAACACACCAGTAGACCTTGAAACTGAATCTAACCCTTAAACCTTTGAAGGTAAACAAAAATATTTGTCTTATTATGTCACACAGTTTCATCTCATTAGTAAATAGATCTCTTGAGAAATAGGATTCTGCACATAGTACACAAAACATTAGTTCAATGAATCTAAGAAGTCTGACATGGTGTGAGTAATACACAATGAATGATTCACATAGTTACCTTCAAGACATTCTTTGGCATCAGCAGCAAAAAGACTACTTTGTAGCTGGTCTTGTAAGAACTGAAGAATGGATACAACAAGTCTCTTTAGCTGAGACATTTCCTGAAGACAAAGTAAAAAATTTACAAGATTACATTGTTTGTGTATATCCATATACAAATCACCAGTGTACATTCAAGTGAATCTTTTCTGTTTTATTATATACTGTATACTATCTTTATATATTCTTATGTACTTCATTAATGTCATTTTAGTAAATATTTAACACTATCAGTATATATTACTGTCCACATTACTAGACTACAGAGGTTGAGTCCACTACATGAAAACAATATTAGAGCCTTACCACATCATTACAGTTTGTCCCACAATCAGTCATGCTCTATTCGATAACTATGCATTTTGACACTAGTCTTGCAGTGTAGTTTTGATTGCATAAGATGTACTTTAACCCTATCGGCATATGTACCCTTTACTGCGCATGACACAAGGTTTTATTGTCTTATATTCAAAATTTTATTAAACTACTTTTTGTTTATGTTATACCAATTAGAATAGCGTAAAATCTTAGCTAATAATCCATATTTTAATATCTCAAAAGTCTCAAATTTCCTTTATGTAATCCCTAAAACTTCGTAAATGCATTTCAAACGTTTTTTTTTTTTCACTAAATACTTATAGTTTATATATTATTTTTCTTCCCTAATCTCAAAATGGGATCGGTCAATTCGATTGACCTCGTAACCAACAAAAAAGAATCGAAATAAACCTAAATTAACCTTCTTTTTTTTCTAGTATGTAGGCCATAAAAATTATGGTCTGTTTGAGCAATAATGATTTTATAGAGAGCATTTTAAGTTTGATTTCATACATTTTCAAGGGGTGATGGATAAAATAGGGATGATGACATGCTAAGACAAAATTTGTCATGTGTGTTACACTAGTAGAAATTCAGGATGTTTTTATATATTTCATTTTAGAATAAAGAACTTAAACTTATATACTGGCGAAAAGTATTTTTAATTTTAACATGAAAAATTAGTTTTTGCACACGGACTATTCAAAACAAATACTCAATATATTCATGGACAAAACTTTATTTTATTTTATTAAAAGTACTTCACTAAGAAATATGACTTTTGTATTTGACAGACTTGTTATATTAAACGAAAGACTGCCAAATTTCTTGAAGATATACCCAATATATAGAGAGTTATAAGTATTAAATTTATGTCAACTTTATAGGAGTACAGAAGGTCATGTGAATCGGTCCCAGGGACCGCGCCCGTGTCGAAAGAGTTAATATTCTTCCAGTTTACAAAGTGTGTCCAGTTACAAAGTTTAGCACTGTATGTTTTTTTTTCTATTTCATTAAATGTCCATTCTAAGTTTCTAATATTATACTGTTTTTCTAGTTTACTAAATGGTCCATTAACAAGTCTAATATTGTATTCTTATTGTAGTTTATCGAACGTGCAGTTTAAAAGACTATAGTAATGTACGGTTCTTGTAGTTCACCTAGTGTGTACAGTTACAAAACCTAGTACTTTACGATTCTTCTAAATTTCTAGTTGTCAAGAATTGTAATGAACAGTTCTTCTATTTCACGAAGTTGACATGTCCAGTACTATTACCGTTAATCTAGTTTACTAAAGGTCCAGTTTGAAGTATATAACTGTAACTATCCGTCTGGTTCAATTATTTACAGCTGCTAAGTCTATTACTGCAGTCTTCTTATGTTTCTTTCTTTACAAAAACTCAGACACTATTTGTTCTTCAAGTATTTACCACATCGTTTTCTCTGCTAAGTTCAGTACTTTTATCGATATTTCAGTTTTTTATGTGTCTAATTACCCACTTTATTTCTACAATCTTATTTGAGTAAACCTAGTTTTCAGTAATCAGATTTATAAACTGTATATATTTTTTTCTAGTTTACCGTCTGTCTAATTGTCATTTCGTGTTCAGCTATGACTAGTACGTTAGATGTTTGTGTATACTGTTGTTTGTTTTTATTTGAATATTGTAATGAAATAATTTTGAATACAAAACATGTTGAATAAGAAAGTAATATCATTTTGGTGAGAAACACCTAGCAAAACGAACAAAAGAACATCCTATCATTTAGTACTGCTATCAATGTTTTTGTGTTGTTGGAGGGATATGAAAGACGTCAACAGTGCTTTCGTGTTCAAGAAAGGTTGCAAATAAAAGTGAAGCTCGTTTTCTTTGTTATATAAAAGATATAATTTAACAGTGTTACTGTGTTGTTGTTGTAAAGTGTACTAAAAAACACCGATATAACTTTTGTAAGTCGATCATAAAGATTACCTGGCAAGGTTTTTGGTTTGAGCGCTGTACTCGCAATATGCGAGTCGAAACTTCCTGTTAACAATGATAACTAAGATTTTTGATAACCTTCTTCACCATAGTATAATTACTTATGATGAAAGAGGAAGGAAATCATTAACTTCCTGTTAACAATGATAACTAAGATTTTTGATAACCTTCTTCACCATAGTATAATTACTTATGATGAAAGAGGAAGAAAATTATTAACTTCCTGTTAACAATTATGACTAAGATTTTTAATAACTTTCTTCACCATAGTATAATTACTTATGATGAAAGAGGAAGGAAATCATTAACTTCCTGTTAACAATGATGACTAAGATTTTTAATAACCTTCATCATAGTATAATTACTTATGATGAAAGAGGAAGGAAATTATTAACTTCCTGTTAACAATGATAACTATTTAAGCCACTGGGGTTCATTTTCTTTAGCCAACACTTTAATGTTTTAATAGATGTAACGTGTGTAATATATTTTAAATAATTTAATTGTTAACGTAAACATATTTTTGTAAATGAATAAAATTCATTTGATCAAGAAATTCAGAACTCCAAAATTTCCATAAGTTCTTGAAAAAGGTTAACAATAAATAAGAATATCTCTTGTGCCATAACAGGAGTTGAACATCCACATTTAATATTATAATTTATCGAGGCAGTGATGTTTCATTTTCATTATTTTCCTAAAAGTATAAATTGTTGTATTTTAGAATAAATAATGCTGATTAAAACAAGCACGAATCAATAAAGCAAATGTTACCTTTTTTTCCTGGGAAAATTAGTATGTTTCAGTAATTATATCTACAAAATAATAAAAACAGAAACTTAATTTCATTTGTCATAGAATAATGAAGTATGTCACTTAGTAATGAAGCTACAAGAAACACAAATAGAGAATAATTTTAAATATCTCCAATAAATATGAATCAATAATGTTCTTTAGACAAAGAATGAAAACATCGACTTAGTTAACGATTTGCAGCGAATGAGGTTCTTTTTTTAAAATAACTTGAGCAAGTTTCTCTAACTACGAGGAGAAAACAGTACCTGAAGTGAATATTTTATGAAACAACAAAATAAAGTGCTTGATAGCGAAATAGTAAGAATGTGAAATACACTAAAATTAAAGAATCATCCTTACATCGTTGACTTTAATTATTAATATCAACATTATTTTCATCGTATAGATAGTACTCTCAGATACTCATATAAAACACTTTTCGCGAAGATGAAGACCGGATAATTCATATTTTATATGATTGAAAAATATAAATATTTAAAGGTAATGTTAAAAAAATCATCATCACACTTTACGTGTATTATATTGTCATGAAGTGTCGAGAAGATAAACTAAGAAAACTTTTGAAAAATCTCGGTAATAGAAGAGAAATCAGTAACAAGTATATTGTTAATTGTTATATTAATTAATACAGCGAGGAAGCTTAGCATATTTATCACCTTAGTATTAAGTTCAATCGAGAAAACAGCTTTATTTATTTTATTAATTTCCAACTTTATTTACTTTGTATTTATCCAATTAGTTTGCCCCCCAGTGGCACAGCGGTATGTCTGCAGACTTACAACGCTAGAAATCGGGTTTCGATACTCGTGGTGGGCAGAGAACAGATAGCCCTTGTGTAGCTTTGTGCATAATTAAAAACAAACAAACAAAAAACAAACCAATTAGTTTGTTTTTATAGATTTTTAAATACAGTATACTGCCATGCAGTGTCTAAAAGTTAAAGTAAATACAAAAAATTAAAAAGTAAGATATTGAAATAAAATGAAAACCAAGCAAACATTTAAAATTTAAATAAAATCAGTGATAAATTATCATATATTTCACTTTCACATTATGTTTAGTATAGAACCACAGCTCTTTCTCCATTGTATTCATTTCATTGTATTACATTTGTTTGTTTTCATCAATTTTTAGGTAGATAATATTACCATGCAGTGTCCAAAAGTTAAAGTAAAAATAAAAAAGCAGGATATTAAAATAAAATGAAGACAAGTAAACACTTAATATTTAAGTAAAAATCACAGTGATAAAATTAGCATAAAGTTCACCTTGACAATATGTTCAGTTTAGAAACATATCTCTTTGTTTATTTTATTCATTTCTAACTTAATTTCTTTGTATTTAATACATTGTTTGTTTTCATAAAACTTTAGATAGAGTACGCTGCTATATAGTCTCCAAAAGTTAAGCTACGAAAAAATAAAATAAAATGTATGATACTAAAATAAGATGAAAATAAGTAAGCCTTTAGTAATTAGATAAAACATACATTGAAAAAAAATGGCATACATTCTTTAATATTCTGTTTATATAGAAATACAGCTCTTTCTCTATTTTATTCATTTCCAACTTCATTTGTTTTCTATTATATTTACGTGCTGTCATTAAACAAACTTAAACTATACTACCATGTAGTATCCAAAAGAATGAAGTAAACTGTTAATATCTAAAATGTCTGAAAAATGGAGGGTAGCAAATTTTAAGCTGTATATAGTGACAAAAAGAAACTTTTCAGTCATCAAGTAAGTATCTGTGGTTTGAGTCCGTTTTATTTCACCATATAATAACCTAAATTAATTTTGGTATGTGAATAATGTTATGACATTTCGTCAAATAGTTGAACCGCAGTCTACGGCAGAGAGCACAGCCAATCAAAGAATGCACCAGGCCTCTACTTCACAGATTATTTTTTGAATTTCATGGTTTTTCGCCTCTGTTGAAAAAAA